AACAAATATTAGTGGCTTTAATGGCCTTGTTTTTAGGCACATTTACCTGTTAAAACCTCTATTTGTACATCTATAGGCATGGAAGAGCTCAAAAATGGCTGAATGGAATTTTACTGATACCTTTTGATTCATCCCAGTTTTTGGTTAAAATTAGTTGATAATAGGCACTTTGCATTTATACACACCAGAGTGACTGGGTGGGGAATCTCCAGTCTACCATAGTTACTGCTGTTTGTTAAAGATCGAACACACTAGAATTTTTATGCAGTGCACACATTTCTTAACATTTTTATGTGGAACATTCTAAAAATGTACACCCTCAATTTAGTTTAACTGAGGAACTGAAGATAGCTAACAAATGACAGGTGTTGTTAAACCAAGTGATTGGTGTGTACTAGCCATAGCAAATTCAGAGGGTGTTCATGTATTTGATTATTCTGTTCAGCCCACTTTTATGTTAATTTCGCTCAGAATAGTGCAATATGCAGTTCAAGATATCCATCAAGTGCATGTAGGATGTAGTCCTGTATTGACACAATTTCCTTTACCTGTTTTAGTTAGTGCTTTGCTTTGCATTGCATGTATTTAAAACCCTACTTTTAGAGCTTGATTTCATAACATGGAAGCCTGGGTATACATAATGTTACCATGCCAACTAAACATTTCTGTATTGTTTTGTAAATTTGTAATCATAAAGTATTTTTAAATGTTGCAAAGTTACCTATTCAGGGATGTGCAATCATTTTGTACTGAAGGCAAGATAGAATGTGCCACTCTTAATGTAAATATTTTTATTTTGGCAGTTTTCACATGGCATATTTTGTGCAAAAGGCATCTTATACTTGGATTGCTTTTGTGATAGCCAAACTAGTGGTATCTTTCAGCAGCCCATTTCTTGGTCTTCTCTGTGCCAAGGTTTGTTTAAATAAGTATGTCCATTCTGTAACTGTTTTATACACAGACTGATATTCAGTACTTGGCACATATTTCTAGTGTTCTTCCTTCCTTAAACATGGTTCAAGGGGTCTAAGGACTACAGAGCTCATGTTCATCTTTTGGGCATTACTGAGACGGGATCCCTAAACAAATTACAACTTTGCCCTCCATTTTTCTGATACTTTCTCAATGGAAATTTGCATGTAATATTGAGAACAATTAAATGAATTATATCATGAAATCTTACACTGGAGAGTTTTACTGAAGTGTGTGGATATATTCCAAATTTTGTTAAAATTGGAACAGTAATAAAAACTTTACATGAAGACCAATAGGCATTTATGCTCACATCTTGAGCAGATTCAGACAAAATCTTTTGCTATTAGATATTTTTCATCAATACTCAAAGATTTATTTGGCATTCTTAAAATTGTGTATTATTATCAGTCTGCTGATGAAATTTTAGTTTCTGAGTACTGCTTCCCAGAGGAGGCAGTAGTTGTAAGAAATTCTTGAAAACTGTTGGAAAATATACTGTATTTGGTAATGTACATTTTGTTTGGTAAACAGTTATAAAAGGAAACATTTTGTTTTCACTTCTGCTCAACTGTTTTGACATTACACCTGAAATTTTAGATTCTGAGCAAATTTTTTGTGTACAGTTCTTCCCAAATAAGGTAGTTATGACACTTTGAGCAGAACTTTTGTAAATAGTTTTCATGTTATTTATTTACCACTGTATATTTTGCATGGTCAAGGAGGTGAGAAGATATTATTTTCATGCGTCTGTAATGACATTACAGGTATTAAGGAAATTCAAATAATTTCCAAAAGATTATTTTGTAAAAATTTTTAGGAATACAGAACTGTTTCTCCTTTTTTTTGGACAGAGAATATTGCTGTACATCATTGGGTTGAAGTTGAGAAAAAGTACTCATATTGCAAAAGTTTGTGTTACTAACATGGCTCAGGTGTGGCTAGAACAGGTGACTTGTCTCTTTTTTTTTACAACTAAAATTATCATAATTCAGATGTGTGCATTGTAAATCAGTTATCTGTAATAGATTTCCTTGGCTTGTTTATGATACAATAGTTCTTAAGATTGTTTCCAACAACAAACAGGTAAGTTGAGGCATGTAGGGCATTCTTATGTAGAACATTTTGAGAGTGTCAGAGGTAGGATACAGAGTTCCTTTTCCTTCCTCTTCACAAAAAATAAGTCACAAAATGATTTGGAAATTTCAACTTCTATGGCTCTCCGGTCAAATAGTGCTGAATATAGTGAACTACTGACTTTGACATCTAAGATAGAATATTATGTACATATTTCAGACTAAAGGGAAAGTCATGCCATTAACACATCCTTTAAATTATTAGTGTTTAGGGAACTTGTCTAGATGTTGCCAACATTATATAAAGCATAAATGACATGTGAAAGCAGTAATAGAGTTATGATACCAAGCAAGTAACCATAAACCATGCAGGTACCTTGAAGACTGCTTTGTCTTCTGTGTCTTACTAGTCATCTTTTGTCTTTACATTCCTGTTTTGTTTATATTTGAAGGATTCTGTATTCATGTTATAATTAAACTTTTGTTCTCATCTGTGATGTGTTATTTGTTAAATGTCTGCTAAAACAGTGGTTCAAAAATAGTAAATAATTGTGCCATTTTCTCCAAGCTTTAAGGCTTTTGAACTGTGAAGTAGAACTTTGAGTAAGTTGAAATTTTTGGTAAATATGTCAAGTGTTCAAATTTTAACATTGAACTTGTAACATGAGATCTGCTCGTTTATTTAATAAATGTACTTATATCAATTGTAAGTGATGAAGATAATGCTAGCAAGTATAAAGTTGTTCATACTTTTGTTTATTTGTATGTTAATTTCAGTATTAGTGTGGTCTGTCGGGATGTGGGTGTAATACTTAAGTTATGATCCTCAAACATTATTTGTTCTCTTCTTGTTTGTTTGTTTGCTTTAAAATAATCAGTAACAATATTTTAAAATGTTTAATACTCGTGCATGTGATTAATACTTGTGAAATATTTATGAAATGAATATAGATTGCACAAATATATTTCTAGCATTTTGCAGTTGCATACATAGCATATACAGCATCTGCATTACATGCAATTTTACTTCAGTTTATTCTTTGTTTGCATGTAATTTATAATTGTAATATATATGTTACATGTAAAACAGTATATATCAAAGTCCCTAGGAAAAAATGGTTGCATAATTTATAAATTGTTAAATCATTTTTAATTGCCATATTACTTTGATGAATGAGAAACAAGAAAACCAGTTACTTCTGTTAAACATTCCAACAATTATGCACATAGTAAAATTCATACTTATGAGTATTATATGTGTTAATATGCATTCAGTTGACAATGAACTTTGAATCTCAATAATGAAACATGTAATTGGCATACATGGCTGCTAGCATTACCTGTTACGTTGAGCATACATGCTTTTTCCCATGGGACAGTCTTCTGTAACACATGATTGATCATTGACAACCCAGTGCTATTAATTTAGAAGCCATTAGACTGTTGTGCAGAATTAGTTAACTGTGCTTCTAATGAAGGGATCATTTACATTATTCCATATTTGTCATATGATGATACTGTAGTCTCCATTATGTAAGAATTTATTTCAAATTATAATAGTGTAAAGCTGCGGCTGAAAATTCTAATGTTTTTGTAACATGGTTGCTTTACTAAAAGTTAATTGGCATTAATTCAGAAGTATTTTAAACTCATAATATATAAATGTGCAATATGGCTTGTAAATGTGATTTTAGTGTGAAAGTATTGACATTTTATATGGTTTATGTTTACATCAACATGACATATTTTTCATGAATTCTGAAGTTCATTTTTCTTGCATTGCTGTTTTAAAAGTAATATAATGATATAATCCAATACACAAGTCACCAAACATGCATTTTATTTTCAACTTCACGATATTAAACCTGTATTTAGTGTGTCATGGTATTACTTAAAATGTATGACATTTTTATTTTTATATGAGTTATTGTATTTTTATCAACTCTTAATATATCCAGGGCATAATGCAATGGTGTATTTTAAATAAAGAGGTGCTTCAGTAAAATAATATTGTCTGTTACTCTACTATAAACTTTCTTCATTGACAGTTTCCTTACAGTCTGATGATGTAACAGTTTAGTCTACATAACTCTTTACCACATAAAGAAAAAAGTAAAGCTGTCCCGCTACATGCCATATAGGCACTAGGAGGGAGAGGAGTTGTTCTTCTACTCATTTTTAACCTCATCACTAGTTAGGGGGTGAGTGGTCAGCATCATGCTCCAGCCACAGTTGACCCCTGGGAAAGGATCTCGGTACCCATTGGACAAGAGACTGGGTGGGCCCCAGAGCCAGTCTGGACACAGGCTAGAGGAATAATCCTCTGCCCCTGTCAGGGATTGAAACCTGGTTGTCCAATTCATTCTGTCACTTTACTGACTGAGCTGCCCCGGCTCTCACCCTTTCCCACACACATGCCTTATCATGGTCAAAGTTTAAATAAAATTCTTCCATAGTCACAAACTAATGAACAAAACACTACTCACTGTGACTGACAGTCATATCTCAGTCTTAATGAATGGGAATACACCCTTGAACAGTATAGAGAATACAGTAACAAATTCTTTTATGATCATTCAGTAATGAGCAGATAGGATGGTTCTGTAGTCAGAAATTCTAAAATGAATGCAAAATAAGAGACTGCTGTAAAATCACATTCTGCATACACTGTCATTCATATGAACTGATCTGCGTTTGGTCCTCAGTTTATGAAAACATATAAATTAAATTCCCTCCACAGCTCATCATAAAATGTCTCTTATTTCTAGTCACTTTTATGGACAAGTGTTATGTTAGTGAAATGAAGTGCAAAACACTTAAAACTGATAATTAAATATGGCTGGCCTATCTGTACAGAACTGACTTAAAAATCAACCATTATTACCAGGTTTGAATTAATCACAGTAACCTTATCAAAATTTAGGATATACTTAAGAATATTAATCCACCATATAGTAACAAACTTAGTTTTATTTATTTAATAGTTTTACATAGTGGAATAATACAATTGTGAACTGAATAAGCAACATGCTTTGACTTCACAGCCATCACCAGGCTCATCTACAATACTGTACATAAAATAAAATGGGAAACTGGTGAGATTTCATGTTCTCATGACAATAAGTATAAAGACAACTGTCTTCTGGGATGTTGCAATTTGTAGTCTGGTAGAAGTTTACTGACATTTCAGAAGTGCTTGCTAACTCGATCATCAGGGCATGGCAAAGCCACACAAGAGGACTGGCTTAAGATATGAAAATAACTCATCCTTAAGTAACTGATATCTATTACTTCTCAGGCCACACAGTCTTTCACACATGAAACAAATATCCTAGGCATAAGAGTAATGGAAAGTTTCTAGGCTGCAGACACAACACTGTTGCATGAAAGAGGGGAATAAAATTAACTGTGAACCAATAATTTATGCAGCCAAATACTTTTTTATTACTACTTATTCATTTTTCAAGAAAAAGCAGCCAAATAATCCATTTTATATCTAATTAATTTCAATGGTAATGATAATTTGCACAGTTTTACATAAGAATTATACATACATGAAGATAGCACAAAAGAATCATTCACCATTCCTACTCTGTCCATTTTCATTTATCAATAAGTGTCCCACGCACTCTATTACGCTTAGCATCCATTTCTGCTTGTGTCTGTTGTACAACCATCTTTCTTTTGTTCATGCCCTTCCTTTCCAATTGCTTCTCAATGATCCGTGCATTGTTTGCATATGAATCAGCCACTTCACGCTGCAAAGAAACATTAAAAACATAAGTACTCCATCAGAATTATGGTAATAAAACAAATTTCAAACAAGGAGATACAAGGTTAAATTCAACTTATTTATTCAGTATGTTACATTTTAAAAAATGTATTAATGACTAAATTCTTAATATCATATGATATCATTATTATAGTACATGTTCTTAAATAATAATAATAGAGAATTTCATTTCTTCTTGCCTATGACCTTCAAAAATACCTAGCTGTTCATAATATTATCCTTCTGCACTTACAAGTGAAATAAACAGAGAAATTTTCATGTAATGGCTCCTTCCAGATGGGGTTACAAATAAATACTTCAGCAATGACTCTGCAGGCAAAAGGTCTGCTTAATTTTCTAACCAGTTCTGTGTGCTTTATAAATGTGGAGTACATGTTCATTTCAATAACTAAGGGGACCTAGTAGTTTCAGCACAAGGCAATGAGCAGGCTGGTGTTGAAATGCACCTAACTTATATTCAGAAGTAACCAACCCAATCTGAACTCTGTCATGTTACCAACTCTGCCAAGACATGTTTTCTTGGTTTTCCTCTGTCTCTCCAGGTGAATGATGGGATAGAATATTTAAATAGGCCATGACAACTTCCTTCCCTACTCACCGCCCGGGATCATTTGCAGCTGAAAAAGTGTCATTATATAATCTAACAATGTATCAGGCTAAGATACTGAAGTCTCATCCATTGAGTCCTTGGTTTGATCACCAATTACCTTCTGTCAAAGTCCACACTTTTTGATTGTCAAGAGTACCAACCCTTCCTCACTGGCCTAATCGATGCTGGTATTATGTGTTATATTAAGATTAATTACAGAGTTGCAGGAGGCTCCTATAATTTATACTTCACAACAAACAAATAAGCATAACTTACAGCTTCAATCTCATCCTCCTCTTCATCTATGGTCGACACAGTTACAGAGCTGAATTTACCCATGTTCTTTGTGTGCTTTGTAACCATTATCTTCTTTGGCTTCTCAACAGCAACCTGGTTGTAAATAGTTGTCATAGGGCCTTCACCTGAGCTCTTAATGACTGCTCCTTTAACTATGAAATTAATGTTGCTTTTTGGATCATGTTTGTAATAAAGCAGTAGTCCACACCTTAAAGAAACACATGAATGATTAAAACAAAATGAAGAAACACACAAATGATGGGGGGAAAGAAGGTTACAACTCCATTTTTATAAATTGACGATAAACAAAAACTGAATAATTTAAGTAAACTTACTTTAAAATTGCATTCACAGAAGCTGTAAATAACTGAACTTACACTGTTGCTAGCAGAATCTTATTGCAAGTATCACTTTACAACAAAACACAGTTTTATAATCTATAAATTAAATAATTAATACAAATTCATATAAAACACAATAATAAGTATTGTGTAAGTCAAACTATTCATATACAAACAGAAAGTGTACAGTGTATACCAACCTAATCATAACGAAATGCCTATGATAGACACACACTGACAAATGCTGTTAAAAATTAAAGATAATGTCCTGGAACCTTTCACTGGCATGCACTATAATATAAATAACTTACTTTTTACACTTCATTCTATACTGCCTTTCAATTCCTTCAGGTCTTTTTAAATATACAGTTTCATCCTGATCACAAGTGACTTTATGTGCATGTTTGCTGCCATCAATCACACGAGCTCCATCCCTTCGTCGCAGAGGAAGCTTCTCTACTGCACAATCTAAAGAGAGAGGAAGATCTTAATTTACAACACTAAATAATTAACTTCTATACAGTCGTCACAAGAGGTACTTTTCCTACAAATAAGACATGATGGATGCTCCAAACCATGTTTATCATTCTTAACCCAGGCTTCTAACCTAAGTTTTGCAAGATAAGATCTGGCACCACTGCTATTGAGGGTGAAGCACAAAGTACAAATCAACAATGGCAATTAAGGTTCAGTAGATTCCAGTACACTGTATCATTATACTGGTGGTCATATACTAACCTCTCAATAGAGATACCTAAGTTCTATCACAGAGCAGAAATGGATGGACTCATAAAGTGAACTTAATTTGTGCCAATGACGTAGCGACTCTTAACAGGTGAATTTCTGCAATGTTTAGTTGTGAACTACAACACATATTATTGCACCAGCATATACTGTAAAACTATAATGAAGAACAACGCAAGCACACTCAAAACAAACATGTCATTGTTACCTAATATCAGTGTCATCTGACCGCAAAGACAGTAGTAAATATGCAATGGTTTCTCTTCACTATACTCTTCCTGATCCTTAGTATCTGAACAAACTATGCTTCTCGATACAACCTTCGGCATTTCTATAAGTTTCTTGCACTTTAAGAAAAATCACTAATCACAAAAAGTCATAAGAGTCAATTATTGTACATAACCTTAAACACAACAGGAATTTTATTTTGCCACAGCAACAAATGTCACAGATTACTAACACCAAAATATGGTCTCTTTCGTTAACCAGCCAAAGACTACAAAAAATGCGAATAACATTCAAAATACATGTATGGGGAATTTTTGTTTGTTGAACTTCAAGGAAATTAGTTAAATTTTGTATAGACGATATGCTATGAGTGATGACTGCAAACTCAATTATTAATATTCTACACCTCGCAATACCAATGAGAAAGGTTCTTGAAATGTTGAGGTGGAATGACAGAATTGTCGATCAGATATGGAAATTCTTTCAGATTTGCGACAACAAAAGTACAGGCAATGAGAAGTACGAGATGTGATAAATGATGAACATTCGCTCACACGAGATTCAGTCGCTTGAAATATATTTTAAACAGCATAGTTGGAGGGAATAATTCCCAAAAATTAACACACACAGGCAAAGGATGTTATTTATTTTTAAGGAGCACGTTCTGTGAACGACAAATTACTAAAACTATGGTAGAAGTTTTTGAATTTAGGTATTCATGACTTTTCATCAGTGGCGCTAGTAGAAATTGACTTTTTTCTGATATGTTTATAGAGGCAGTATTTTCCTCTAATAAGTCAACAGCAAGCTAATGTTCTATATGGTGCCAGTACATAAAGATAGGACAGGCATCAACTGATTGATTTTGAAGCCTGCAATTTGCATTAGAATGATTGAACGAGATGAACCACCACAATTTAATTACATGTTCAAATGTAATCAATGCATTGCACAGATTATACACCTCAAAGAATTTATTTTAATAAATTTTCCTTTATCTGTGACAGATCACGGAGTATTAATGTTCGAAGGCGCCGTAAATGAATTTTGACCTTCATTTTCGATGCTGAGGTACGCAGTATCAGTGTTACAGTAATGGAAGGAGGTAAGATACACAGATAACGGTGTAAAGTAGTTTAATCGTAAGTGACAGAATTTGCCGTGGATGGTAAATTCAGAGTGGTTGATGTCGACTGATTAATTTTTGAAGACGGTATTTGCATTGCATTCCTGAAAGTTAATGCTGTTTATTATGACTATCAAATTACAAAATATTTAATGCAGAAATTAGTAATTATAGTCCTACCTCATTTTATAATATATGTACGTAATATTATATTACTTTGAATGTTTCCTGAGTCTGCCGTTTGTATAGAGAATTCTAACCTATATTCTAACCTGTATTTATGTGTACGTGTGTAACCGTAAATGAAGATACCTATAACCACAAATAACAATGACTTTAGGGGAGAATGAGCCCTGAATCTGTGCATGATGTTTTATGAGTGTAACTTATGGTATAGCCAATTTTAGGGTTGCTGCCCATACAGTTAAGGTTATCATTTTATTTTGGTATTTTATTGTATGAAGTGTTCTTATTCGTGGTTTGACATGTTTCACATCCTTGGCTTGTACTATGAAGGATCTATTATGGGAGAACCCATACTGTAGCCTTATATACTTTTACCATACCCTTTTCTTTAAATTTAATTGAACATATGGAAATTGGTATTAATAAAGGATGGTGTTTATGCAGACAGAGACCTGAAGTTGATTGATGCTGTTTTACATCGCTTCAGTCTAGAGCAACTGGTGGACATCGTTTTTCCAGAGATCAAGATATTATCATGGCCAGGTGTCCAGAAAGTAGTAGTAAAAGGACATCTTCCTCTGAATAAGGATTCAGTTATTAGAGTCATGTTGTTTGGCATTAAGGTAAATTGTTTGTAGAATACTCTATCACTACAACCATTTTGCGATGCCTGAGTTGCAATCTTACTAACTCCATGGCGTAGGGTCCTTCTTGAGAAATTAACAGGTGATCATTCAGTCAAATTTTCTAATTTTATTGAACCTGAAGAATTTATTACCATGTTTGCTAGAGCCCACTGCTGGTTACTATCCTGAATGAGATTCCTGAGATTGGAAAATTAAAAAATTGCCATGAATGGTGATTATTTATTTATTTGTTTATTTAATGATGCTGTCAGTAGATCAGAGTATATAGCATTAACTGATAGAATAATTAATAAACAATGTATGGTAAGGATGTGGTCATTTCAGTTTTTGGTACAGTGTTTTCATTTGTCTGGAGGGACTTGAGGAAAGTATAAGAATTATCAGTCAGGATAACCTCATGAATATAAACCAGTAGTGTTGATCAGTCTGCCATGATGATTGGTATGAATGGTGGATAGGTAATTATTTGGAAGTTGGTAACTGGCCAGTTTCAAGATGTTATGAAGATTGGATAACCATTTAAACCTGTCAGAATTGCCAGTAACCTAGCTGATATATGTACTGCATGCCTCCTGATTAAAAGTCTGTAATGATACAGCACCACCACTTTGCTCAGTTCTTTCATTGAAGCTTAAGCCTGAAGTTGAGAATTATTTAAACATATGTTTATGTTTATAACTGTCTTGCAAATGTTGAGTTTTTTAACAGGAATTCAGCTTGACTTTTTGTCATTTCTAGGAACAGAAGATAGAAGATGAAACTTATGCCACAAAAATTTTACAGATCATCCAACTACTTGGTAATTTGCATGGCTTTGTTGGTGATTAATACAACATAATTTTATTTGTTTCTGTTGTGCTCTTACACATACATACAGTGTTGGATGTCTAAAATAATAACTGTCAAGTGATAAAGAATGGATAAGATATTATTGTGACATATTTTGTTTTAAAGAAAAGACACAGACACCTCTATCAGTTTCCCTTGTACTTTATGCTTTTCCATACCTTGTGTGGGTAAGCATTCTTGTTGTCTTTATACCTGGGACAAGAAGGGAAGTGCCCTAAGTTGTCTTGAAGAAAAATTTCAGTATTGAGGAAAGAGTTTTATTTCTCTTATTGTTTTTTTTTTGGTATGCCACAAAAGTTATAAATTGTCAGTAAAAAGAACTTACCATTGCAATTTTTTTGACATTTGTAAACACAGAGAGATGTCATCAGTTGAAGTTTTTTTAATTATTATATTTAGTATGGAATTTAATTATGTGAAATTGTCTAAATATAATCAATGATACTAAATAAGTAATTTAAATTTAATCAATGTTACTAAATACATAACTGGTAAATTGTATTCCTTGAGCAGTTTGCATGTACTCTGCATGAAATTCACTTTCCTCAACCAATTTTACATAGACATATTACTTGGAGATATGCTTTGGAAGACCATTAATTTTAGCAAAACTGGGTTAAGTGGATGTGCTCTCTATTACTCACTTATAAATGAAGTAAGTATCCTTTCAAACATTTCATGCTTGGCATTAATATCTGTTCCTTTTAGATATTGCTGTACATCACTATCGTCTAAAATGGATTGCATTTATGATGACTGGGGAAACTGGACAGAGCAGAAAGCGTTACTTCACAGGCAGTGATGTTCAAGATAGCATTGAAACCATTTTTTCCAGAAAGAGAAGACTTGTGGTGAGATTAATGTATTGTTGCTAAAGGGAGCTTTATTATATAAGGTTTGAAAATTAGAGTTATCCTGAAAAAGATTCTCACTAACCTTTAATGAGTGTGGGTCACTTTCAAACTATTTTCCTTATAACTTCATACACATTTATTCTAATGCCTCTGCTGTACCTGGATACATTTCTGGAAGTATTTTTTAAAAAAATGCTTTTAGTACTGTTGTCATAATGTTCTGAATGTCTTAAATTGATATAAATGAGCCCTGTCAAGGATATTAATTTCAGGAACATGAACAACTTACTTGGGAGAAGTAAGGTGAGTAAAGTGGGTGATATAACTCTGGCATATGTTTTTTTGACAGAAGTTTATTTGCTGAAAGTGTCATGTGGGAAGTTACATTTTCATGATGTAAAATCACTTTGCTGTTTATATTTTTGGTAATTTTTCAACAAATGCATTGCTGTGCACATTCCAAAACTTACAGTGGACTGCTTTGTGCACTGTTTTAGAAGAACAAATCCATAATGGATAATTCCTTTAATATCAAACAGACTGATCAGCATTGTTATGATGTTCAGTTTTGACACTGCTGATTTTTTGGTCTCATTCATTTGACTCTCCTACCACAGACTTTGGTGTTTTGTTTGAGAGTCATACTGAAAGACCCAAAACTCGTTGCTAGTCTATCCTTTTTTTCAAGAAATCATTTCATTTATCAGTCTTGCTGAAAGTTCTAAGCAGACATCTTTTCTCTCGCATTTTGCTTCCCATGGAGATTATTTTTACCATTCTGGCTTAGAATTTCTTTATCTGTTGGTCATTTATCAAATGGCTAGTAGAAATGTTATCCTTCAGTAGAATTGCATAAGCTGTGACTCATCTGTAGAATTGCTGTATACAGAGGTCTAAGAAATTGGGCTCTATTAATATCTACATATTAGGATTTTCTTATTTTGAAAAGTATATTGTCAGATTAGTATTTATAGTTTTATTTATGAAGAGATTTTTTATTCTACTTAGTTTTAATTGAGAAGGATGACTTAAAACTTGAATATTTGTTTCTGATCAGATTGTTAATTTCTCAGAAAAGTGCCCTAGGAGATAGAACTGCGCTTTATGCTTGGCATTTTGGGTGGTTCAAGGGCAATAAAAAGCAAGATTATTGCACATTATTTTGAACAATTTATACATCCTTCAGCAGAGAGTGAAGGCAGTTGTATTGGACTGATTCAAGCAAAACTTCTGATATATTTATCATTAATGTTCAACAGTTGTTGATCTTGAAAATTATAAAACTAAAATCTGTCTATATTACACATATTCAGTGCTAACCATTAATTTTCCTTTCAGGAAGTTTCAGTGATTCTACAAGATGAGATATGCTGGATAAGTTTAGTTGAGAGGAAACATATTAAAAATAAAGGATTAGTCTACAAAGCACCCATCTTTGTGGCACACTTCCCAGGACAACCATATTTCTTTATATCTCACAGTAGACTGAAAGAAGACATATTACATGTGAGTTTTGTTTATCTGAATCCTTCATTATTGGATGGTTAACATTTTATAATAATAATTTCTGTACAGCTTGGAAAGAAGTGCTTTATAAATGAATAAACATATAAAATTGTTTATGAAACTGCTGTATTCTGTCCTTCAGACTTCATGGCCAAATTTGACTTTTGTGGTTAGCTGCATTGTGTGTTGAAGCTGTTTGACTATTCTGGTGACTCATTGTCATAGCCTTCTTGAGGGTGAATGTATGGAGAAGGAAGTGGGAGCTGTTACATTTGTCTCATAATGGGAGTGGGGCTGGAGTTAAAAGGTGTGACTGGGCAAGTAGCAGAGTGGGGTTGCTGTGTGGTGAAGAAGGCACAGTAGTAGAATAGTTTGAGGAAAAGGGATCACAAGATTTTCTTCTGTCATTATCCTACACAGTTGGCATTCTGCAAGAATTTACTGGAGAAAGTCCAGTAGTTAAGAAGAATGGTAGGAAGAAGACAGGTAAAGCCAGGTTTTGCAGTGTGTAATGATCTTCATGGCTGAAGTTTTGTGGACATTATGCATATATTTCCTAATTTGTTATGCACTATAATTATTATTTTGGAGTTCTTATTTGTATGAACCATGCAAAGCTTGATACACTGAAGCACTTACAATTTCAGTTAAGTTTGGCTGTGTTCATTTTTGTTGAGTAATATCATTCTTATTCAGTTTGTGATTTGGAAATGAGTTTGTTTATTAATTGTAACAGGTAATTTCAAGGACATTTGGTTATGCTGATGTTGAAGAGTGTGACTTATCTGGACAGAATGTCAGACATCTCTATCGGTTGTTAAAAAATCGTGAATCTGATGCTTCCAGTGCACAGGATGTTTTGCAAGAAATCAGGAAGTACAGACCTGGTAATGTTGATAACATGTATATGACTGGGTTTGTCATAATAAGCACTTGATAAGCATGTCAAGAAGACTAATATTATCTGGTCTCTTCAATCAAAATTGATGTACATCTAATCATTGTTTGTTTTTTGTGGCAGTACACACTGGTGCACAAAATAGGCACATTTTCTTCAAAATAGGAGGAGGATTCAATTAAAATACAGGGTGACCATAAAGTCTGGAAACATAGGTGAATATACATAATAAATGGCTTATTGATATTACATTACAATACATGATATGTTTAATGTGTTGTTTTTGATTAGCATTGCATAGTTCAATGCGCCATTCAAAATTACAATGAATGCGGTGCATTAATGCAGCATTTCCATCAATCCCTGTTTCTGGACTTTATGTGTACATCAAAATTGTCAGACATAACCTCAAAGAATTGCTGCCTTTTTTATATAAAGAAGGCACTCACCTATTATAACACTGTATAAAACAAACACAATTCAAGTAATGTAGCAGACCTCAAGGGAAGGGATCATATTGTTGTCCCTCAGCATAGGTAGGGGGATGATCTTAGAGAAATAGTATAATGACCCAGAATACTATGATTGACAAAAAAGGTGGATATCTTTCTCTTTCAGTGATGTTTGAAGAAACACCAAAAGGGATAGACTTCACACAGCACAAGAGACAATTAGAATATGCTGACGTCTGTTTTGGTAGTGAGCCGACGTTACAACAACTTACTGTGAAGGTAATTAGCTTTAAATACGGTCATCAAATGAAATGTGCAGTAGTTTTAAATGCCTCTGCATTGGTGCATTGTATTGCAGCTCTGATTCTATCACTAGCAATAAAGACTATAAATTTCTGATGTTTGTGCATTGAATACCTTTTTCTGACACTGACTCAAATTTTTCAATTACTTCAGTCATCTCTACAACAGGTATGATTTTCCCTTCAGTCTTTCAACTCTATCTAGATATTCAATAGGCATTTTCCTTAAGGAAGTTCCTAATCAAAGGGATTTAGACCTGAAGAGTACAGTGGTGAAGATAATACAGTATATGATTTGTTATGTGTAAGTTGGACTAATATTTTTACATATTTTCTGAATTTGCTATAAGAGAATGCTAAAATATATTAGTTTGTGTCTAGTGTGAGTCATGCTTCCTACCAAATAAATAGATTAGTCATTCTATTCAGTATATATTTTTAATTTTAACAACAACATTTTAAAAACTAAGTTGTGTATAGACTGAAATAATAAATAAATATATACTGAATTTTAACACAAACATGACGCATCTAAACTATAAACTCAAAAATAGTCATTCTATGTAAAAGCATCCTCCATTCATTTCTTTGTCCCCATAGATACACTACTTACTATGTTAAAATACAGAGATCCTGCAAATTAAGTACATCTGATAATACAGTATCAATGGATCTTCCTACCATTTCAGCTGTGCAGTCTGCGGTGGTGTTTCTAATAAAAGCTCAGAAAATGAAATCATGAAAGAAACACATTAACTTATTTATTCAGAAACCTATCAAATAGCAAAAATGTGATGTGTTGTATGACGCTGTATGGTTAAAATGCATGGACACGTGTATCATATTATGCAAGTGTTTTCGTGGTAATGCTCTGACTTCCATTCACTAGATATCAGCTGGGTTACCCACTGCTCTGACTGAGTTTTTCTTTGTGGTTTTTCTCAGTCTTCAAGCAAATGCCAGATAGTGCTTTGAAATAGGCCAGACCCTTCCAGTTCCTAACTATGCACCTTCTCATTTGGCATGATACACCATCAAAAGTTGAAACAGCACTGTTAAATAATGTAAGAATCAAACCACATGTGGTGATGTATAAGAACTTTTTCAGATTTTGTTTTGTAGGTGCTAACAAACCTGTTATTACAGTAATCCGTTCTTTTTCTCCTGCAGTGCCCATCATGTCAGTGGACAATTGGAGACATTGTACCTGAAACTGAGGGGAAGAGCTTTGGAAGTATGGAAGTCTCATTCCAATCTCCAGACATCATGAAGATGTTCAGAGAAATGACTGTGAAGGATATTTTTACCAAGAATCCACCAACATATATGTGCAATTTACAGAAGATGGGAAAGAATAAAATTACAATTGGAAATGGCGGGAATACAACTGAAGACTAAGTTTTTGTGGTAATTTAATTTTTTCTTTTGTTTTATTAGAATTACATATTGTATTATTTATCATCTGACAGGAATGGTGTGTCTTTATATACAGTATACATTTTCACTGAACACTCACTACCTGTTGTAAAATGAAAAGTTATACTTGACAACCTTTCAGTTCTGGGATGAATGTATGAGTCTGTAACTTAAATATCAAGAGTAATAGATAGAGATGTATGATGCTCAAAAGTGTCAGATAAACATAAAACTTTGTGTGGCTTGAATCTTTATTGGAATATTAGATTTTTAACATAAGTCCTAATAATATTTTGTGATAACTGTGTCGTATTCATGTTGTTTGATACCTTTACTGTACACTACAGTGCAGTCAACTTGGCCTTTGTTTTGTTTGCTGATAAGTTTCCTGAGATGGAAATAGATGGGTTGAGAAAGTCTAAAGAACAGGTGCTAATAAATAATCATACAGGAATGTTGTGTTGATTCATTTGAATCTGAGACCGAGCACATCAGTTTTACTCATTTACTGATTTCCCAAGTCTTGCAGTAATTTTACAAATAATCTCGGGAGCAAGTATGAGTTTGGGTATTTACTTCAGAATAAGAACATTATCTACACAGCATAATATAATACAAACTTGTATGAAGTATTTTTGTGTTACACTCAATTTTATAAGGCAATGCTGTATACCAACAGGAAAACTGCTTGGAGCACAATATATGGGTGATCAAGTAATGCTAACAGCAACAATGTTATTTTTTCAGTATTGTATCTGCCAATCAATTGGTGCTTCAGATCTGCTGTACAATTTAAGCCTATCCTGGATTTCATATAATGAAATCTTAATTCCTTTTCAGTCTCCATATAAAGAATGGGTCACAGTACCTAGTTATACATACATTGTATTTTACTCAGAACATTAGTTACAGCTCTCCAACAGATGTTTCATAATCCTGCTGACCTTACTTGCTATGGAACATCTATTCATAAGAAACTAGACGAAGTGACCAGTAACCACATAAACTACTATGAAAGAATAGTCTGATAAAACCATCTGACCATGTTATATGTAGTAGTAGTGGATTTATCAGTTAGCCACTCCTTGTGTTATAACAGAAATACTGTGCAAGATATATTAATTAATGATATACAGTTTACACTGGTAGTGAAAAAAAAAAGGATAATCCACACAACTAAAAGTTTTTCCATGTCGGCAATAAGGCTATCTCTTTTTCTTATGACTTTAGAGTTCATTCGTGTGGCACTTTTAATTCCTTTAACACTTTCTCCTTAGCGTTCACGATGGCACTAACAGTTTTGCGAGCTAAGCTTAGCTTACGTCCTATCTCGGCCATAGACATGCCTTGTTCACGAAGTTTAATTATATCTAACTTGGTATTTAAAGTAAGAGGCTTACGACTCCTCTTTTTATCGCTACTACCCTTTGACGCCATTGTAATTACACTGTAGAAACACAAAAATATTACATAAATATACAGTTTGTAATAACTTTGAAAAATTGCCAGAAATACGGAGACGCGGAGCGTACAAAAGCTGTAAACAGATTGAATCAGCGACGAGAAAATGGCGCCGGACGCACTTCTCTGACTCAGCTGTTGAGCGCCGTATTAGCGAATCGCCGTAAAGCGGAGCGCCGTAAAGCGGGGCCCTACTGTAGATCACAAGATTCTTCAAAAAGTATGTAGAAAAGAATGAATAGGGCATATAAGCAAGATGTTTACAAATGAGACATGCAATTCCATAAAAATTGCCACCTTGCATATATTTGAATTCTGCACTACTTGTATATGCAGTAGGAGTGGTCAATTAAACTTTGGGAACTCCATATAAATTTTTCTATGAGCTTGCGTAGCTCAGTCAGTACAGTGACTGGCTACAAGCTGGACGACGGGTTCAATCCCTGACGGGCAGAGGATTTTTCCTCTAGCCTGTGTCCAGACCTCCAGGTCTTGTGCAGTGCAGCATGAGTGAAAACAATAGATTTACTTACTTATTCGTGGTTTATTTAATGATCCTATGAGCAGATCAGACTAAACAGCTTTGGTAAAATGCCAGGCAACTAAAATCTTTAGAGCTGGGAAACACAGGAAAATGGCTGTCTTCTGGATTCTTGCACCGCATAATCTCATAGGAGCAAGGACCTCTGAAATGTCGGTAAATTTCTATCAGACTACAAGGCTCAACAATCCAGAAAACAGCCATCATCACACTCACTGCCACCGTGAAAACCTCAAATCCTACTGTGGAACAGAATTTTTATTTTGTTGTATTATGATGACCTATTCCACATCTTACTGTAATTTGGCTAACCTATGGATCCATGGAATGTAATAGAGATGTATACCGCTTTCCAGCATTTTTGGCCAAACCTATTCTAACCTGTCGTAACATCATCTAATGTATTGCAAGGTAGCAAAAATCAACCGAGCACTCGCGTCGAAACGTGAAAAATATTTACAAAGCGTGACATTGCGTGACCTGCTATAAAGGCCTGACGAGCGGTCATCATAAGTGTTAAAATACGACGAAGATTTGAAAATTGTGACAAAGCGTGACGAATTGTGGCCATAAATGTCAAAAGTCACAAAAATTTTCAAAACGTTACCTAACCTAACAAAATCCACCAAACACACTTAAACTAACCTAACGTAACCCAACCAAACCTAACCTAACCTACACATACAGACTGAAAACATCAAGCAGTTACGAGTAGCGTGTAGTGAGTGAACCTGTAATGTGTTCTGTAGGTGTTGTGATAATATTCTAGATTAAATCACTTTGCCGCTGTGAGGTAATCTTAAAGGTATACCCATTAGAACACATGAAAGCTGTTGTCTGTTATTCGTTCAGTGGTTGTGGAACGAATGCTTTTAGGAAAGGGGGTTGTCATCACCGCGATATCTTACGCATGCGCTTATATCGCATTCCTAGCAGGGATATTCTCCTGCTGAGTGGTCTGTACCTCTATCCCGTGTTGGTATCATTCTGTGGTGGAAGTTGGCGTTAGTGTAGTTAGTTCAATGGCGGCATGGTAGAAGTAGTGGTCTGTGTAATACTCAACAGATGATCATATTGCTTTTTGTAACTTCAGTTTATCGGGTGCGCTATGTGTAAATGATTTCAAGTGCACATTGTACAGTATGATGTCAAATAACAGGACGAATGAGAATAATCCGTCAACAATCATGAATACCAAAGAAAAGGAGAAATACATCGAAGAATTTGATTTTCCTTACTGTGATGAGGCAGCTAAATATGAAAAAGTAGCGAAAATAGGACAAGGCACTTTTGGGTAATGCAAAGAGTGAAAGTAACTTGTGTAATTACATTTTGTTCACGGTGGCTATTGAATATTAAACTTGTTATACTTTAGCATGCTTATGTCTTTGCTGGTGAAATGCATATTCTTAACTTCGGTTAATTATGACGAATTAACCATTACAGCTACACGCTTAAAAGTTTTGAATTCATATTTTATCTGCGAAATATTGCAGGTAATGGCTATAGTAATATGACACTTTAAGGTTATGTCAGGCAATTTACACGTAGTGAAAATATATGCTTAAGGAAATTATCCACATAAATTGGTCAGTTGTGCAATTATTAATTTATAATTTCTGCTAACCGCAGTATGGATGGAAATAATTAAAGTAAAGCAATACTTATAGAATAGCCAACAGGTCATTCCGGAATACATAGTTTTGTCTCCTATTTCGAGAATGGGAACAAGGAATTTAGTAAATAAATGTGATTGTTGTCCTGCACCATCCTTTCAGTAATTTATTAACTTCACATTTTAACTTTTTCAGAGAAGTATTCAAAGCCAAGGATAAGCAAACCAACAAAAAATTTGTGGCTATGAAGAAAGTGTTAATGGACAATGAGAAAGAAGGTGTAAGTAGAGTTTATAAAGAAACAATTTTATTCAGAATTAAGACGTTTCTGTCGTCATTGAATAACAGCTTGGCTGAAGATGGAGGCAGTATGTTTATCTGAAATGTTGGTGTCTACATATGAGTCTGCATGGTGTCATAACCCAGAAGAACATTGTCATGTTATTATCTGTTTGTTTTCTTTCAGTTTCCCATCACAGCTCTACGTGAAATTCGTATTCTGCAGCTCCTGAAACATGAAAATGTAGTTAATCTTATAGAAATATGCAGAACTAAAGGTTAGTCGCTATGTTATTATCATCATCAATAATATCACCGTTGTTGATGATGCTGTCTCTAGCCTGAACTCGGTTGTTATAAATGCTGTAGGTAAGGCAATTTCCCGTGGGTTTACCAGAACGTCAAGATTTCCTCACCGGTTTTCAAGTGCCTTATGGTATTACATTTGGAAAAAATATTACTATTACAGACGTTTTAAAAGGAATAACTCTGATTATTTTTATAGTAAATTTTCCTTTTATCGTAAGCTAGTGAAAACTACAATCAAGTCTGACAGACTTATTTGTTTGAAGTCTATTGGTGACAATTTAAGATCTCAACCCAAGCAATTTTGTAGAAAAAGAAATTCCACTTCTATTCCGTGGCTGATGCATTTGCTAAGCATTTTCAGTCAGTCTACAGTACCTTTGTTTAGGAGTATCCTTCTCCACTGCAGAGTCATCTGAATTCTTATCATTAGCCCCTATCTCTGAATTGGACAGATGTAAAGCAATTAGATGTCTAAGACCATCTAAATCCCTAGCTTTGTTATGCCTGTATGCTTCATTACAGAAAATTTTAAATTTTTGCACTTATCCATTATCTTTAATTTACCACCAGTTCTGAAGTTGTCTAATGCTTATACTATATGTTTTATTGTTTTTAAACTCTTTGCCCTATCCCTTGTGCATGTGGTTTGTATGATCTGTTCCAGCTACTCAGTACAACAGGTATCGATCAACATTCTACTTGGTATTTGACTTCTGTGAACATGACCTGGCTGGCTTGTTATCTAATGTTAATGTCAAATTTAGTTTGGGTGAAATCAAGAAAGTAATGCAACAGTTGCTCAATGGCTTGTACTATATTCATAGTAATAAGGTACGTATAGATGTTTAGCTTTTCATTTTGGAATCGTTTGTCTGATGTTACACAGTCGTGTTTGATACCGTACATTATAGAATACAGGTAACATGTATCACAACTACTGACTGTTGCAGTTGTGTGTTCAGCACTTCTTCATATTTGTAGGCAAGCTATTCTTTTGTTTTCAGTGGTCTCTTCAGGCAATTGCTGTAATAATACAAACCATAAATGTTTGATATTCTTTCCAGTTTATCATTCACATCCTATCCTACTATTTAAAGCAATTGACAAAGACTTATTAAATAAATCAAGAATGATTTGGCCAGTAACTAACACACTATCAGAGTCCAAAAGTTTGAAGTTTTTTATACCAATGCTTGTTGTTGCACTCAATCCTATGACAGTTCGTTCTACCTTTCGTTCTCTTCCTCACTAAAATTCTGTATCCATTCTGTGTTATTCGTATCCCATCATACTTCCTGTATTTCACACTTTTAACAATAATAATTATTGTGTAGCCATATGTAATATCATAATTGTTCATGTCATATTTCTAAGGTCCAAAATTTTCCTGAGCACTGCCTTTTCAAACATTTTTAAAAACTATATGTTCTTCCCTCATTGTATAAGATTGCATTTAATGGCTATACAAAATGAGTGAAAGAATTGTGTAGAATATTCTGAGTTTCACTGCCGTTGAAGAGCAGTATCATGGGAAGGAGAAAAGTGATTCAATCCCCATGAATGATGCAGAGGTTTAAACTTTTGGAAAAGATATATGTTATGTGTGTCTTGGGATTTCTCTAGGATGTATTGATTAAATTTATTTGGGCTAGAGAAAAACCAACAAATTCTCATAAAATGCAGATGTTTGTCTTTAAATAAATGTAAAGGAAGTTAATAGTTTGTTCATGTCGCATAACCTGTTTATATACGATATTTCAAGGTTCGGCAAACATGGTGCAGACCAGAGTCCATGAAATCTTCCAATAGCTTTTCTTTCTCATGGATGGTGATTCAGAATGGATCTTGATAATCTATTTTTTTCTGGAACCTGCTTTTATATTCTGTCCACTTCTGCATGTGTGAAGTTAATTTGATGGAAGGGGTGTGCTTGAAATGCTCTTCCTGTCATTAGCTTCAGAATTGCATTGTGCTTGATAAAATTGTAATACAAGAATTGATATTAAATCCTTTGGCAGCATGGCAGAGCTTAAGTACTTACTGTGATGTGTTTCCTGTTTCAGTTAGAAGAAAGTCATTATTACATTTTTATTTTTTGATAACTTTTTCAGATCCTACATAGAGATATGAAAGCTGCAAATGTGCTTATTACAAAAAATGGAATATTAAAATTGGCAGATTTTGGTTTGGCAAGGGCATTTAGTGCAAACAAAAATGGCCAAGTTAACAGGTAATTTTATAATTGTTTTTGTTGTTCCTTGGCTCTACAACCCAATTGTGGGTCTCCTTTTCGGAGGTTCCCAAGTCTTTGAAGTGTGCATTTGTGAGTAGTGAGTCACCAGCCCACTGAATCTGCACAATTTCTACTCAATTCTGATTTGTCTGCTAGAGCCATCTAGTAGACAATCAGGAGAGACTTGGGTAAGAAATGGCCACTAAATTTTGCTTACGAAACATATCGTTCATGCTCATAAGGTTCTTTTACATGCTGTAAATCTATGACATGGGACCTCTGGCTTTACTTCCCTTTTGAAGAAAGTTTGCTACAGATTTTTATCACCTTTAAAAATCCATGGACCTCACCTGTTTTGAACCTGGTAACCTTGGGTCCAGTGGTGAGGATGCTAACCACTAGTCCACTGAGGGTGACACATTTTATAATTATAATTTATAGATATTTTTTCTTTTCTGATTCATTCATTTCTTTCCTGTTGACATTCTATTCTACAGTTAATAATTTAATAAAGTTGTTAAATAATGCTGATGCATTGTTTTCTGTTTCTGTCTTTAATTTTTTTAATGCTTTGAAGTAAGTCAAAACTGGCAATATTATAAGTTACTGTAATGTAATTTTATTTGTTTGTTCCATTTTTTACTTCAAAAGTCAGAAGTACTGTAGAGTACTTCATTTCTTTGGCTACTGTGCCCAGGTGAGTGAAGGCTGTAGTACATCATTGTAACTGTGTTATACTTTTTTACCCCCTTACTCTGTGACCACTAATAGTATCTGCTATATTTTGGCTAACACATGGAACTGGTATAATTATGGTCTTCAGTGAATAACAATTTGATATCCTGTTGGTGACTGTCAGAGTAGCAAAACGATGTTCCGAAGACATGTGCTCAGTCTTAGCTTGTAGCTTCATAACTAAGAATACATACATACTAATTTTTGCAATATAGTATATTTTGTGATTTTCTTTTTCTTCTATAAGAAACTCATGTCTCATGCTGATATGAAATATACTTGAACTTACTGTCATACCTTTGGTTGAGCCATGAAAATGTAATCAGTAAAGACACGGTATGGACTGAATCTCTTCACTGCCATGTACAGATTGGCTGTGGGGCCCACCAGCTTTCTTTGAAATGGGTACAGGGGTACAGAAAAGTGGTCAGTGCACAGGATAGTATTAGACTCTCTTTTATGTGAAATGAGTGTCTCTGCTCCAGAGGATCTTGCAACAGACAAGCCTTGTGTTCTTAGTTTTAGGATGTATTGTAATCATCTCCCCCCAACATGAAAATGTATTAGTCAGTCAGTTTATCTGAACTGTATATTAATTATTATATGTAGATTGTGCGTAATAATAATTGTTAGCAGGAATTATATATGTTATTCCATTGTCATTTTTAAGACCATAGTTAAAGTAAAGTAGATCCATTCATCACACTCAGTAATTGACATTTCAGATGTGATGTTTCAACAACTTCATGAAGTGAATAATTTCTGTACCACCTTTCTGTCTCCACAGAACTTGGTATAAGATAATTTACAAAATGCCAATACCTTGACATTTTTAATATAAATTTCTGTACTTACTTTTCAGATATACTAACCGTGTTGTAACTTTGTGGTACCGGCCACCAGAATTGTTGCTGGGTGACCGCAACTATGGGCCACCAGTTGATTTGTGGGGTGCTGGCTGTATCATGGCAGAGATGTGGACAAGAAGTCCCATCATGCAAGGAAACACAGAGCAACAGCAACTAACATTCATCTCCCAGCTGTGTGGCTCTGTCACTCCAGAGGTGTGGCCAGGGGTTGAGTCTTTGGAACTCTATAATAAGATGGAATTACCTCGTGGACAAAAACGTAAGGTGTGTTAATATGGAGTGAGCTGACAGTCACCTGGGTTTTGCTTAGCTTGAATAATATTTAAAAAATGTTGTGTGTGATCCTGCTGATATTTTGAACAGCAAAACAAAATGTTCAGCTGTGTAAGATTTGAGCGCATTGGGTCAGTCCAGAAAAAGTCATGATTTAAAGCAGAATCTGAATCATAGCGTTTGCTTGGATCCAATACAAGTAATTTATCCAGTAGATCACAGGCATAGGGATCCTTGACATAAGGCTTTAAACGCTCTTTCACCTGTTAACAATGAGTATATCACAAAATGAGTCATTTTTGCTACAAATATGACAACATTACAAAATCTCTTGCATTAAAAATGCCAAATCAATATGGTTCTAAAACAGCTGAACATTTTGAAGATTTCTGTCTTCTGTGTTGTTGCGCTCTGTAGTATGGTCGATATTTACCAACGTTTCTGAGGTCATACTGACTGATAACAGGCAGTATGACCTCAGAAACGTTGGTAAATATCGACCATACTACAGAGCGCAACAACACAGAAGACAGAAATCTTCAAAATGTTCAGCTGTTTTAGAACCATATTGATTTGGCATTTTTAATGCAAGAGATTTTGTAATGTTGTCATATTTGTAGCAAAAATGACTCATTTTGTGATATACTCATTGTTAACAGGTGAAAGAGCGTTTAAAGCCTTATGTCAAGGATCCCTATGCCTGTGATCTACTGGATAAATTACTTGTATTGGATCCAAGCAAACGCTATGATTCAGATTCTGCTTTAAATCATGACTTTTTCTGGACTGACCCAATGCCTTGTGATCTATCCAAAATGCTGGCGCAACATACGCAAAGCATGTTCGAGTACCTTGCACCACCTCGTAGGCCCGGACACATGCGACCGCACCATCATCATCAAGCTGGTGCTGGTGCAGCTGGTGCAGCTGCTAAGCCATCTTCATCAATGGACAGTGGATATCAAGACCGAGTTTTCTGATATGCTTGAAAAATATATTGACATTTTTTCCTATCCCCATGAGTCAAGAAGTGTAAGGTTCATTAATATTATTCAGAGCTTCATTCTTGCCTGTAGGTCTTTGGTCTTTACACTTTTGATATCTCTCACTTTAAATAGTGGGTCTGTCATTAAACACTGATCTTCCTCTGACAGTGTTTTTTAATTTATTCAGTTACGTGTAATTAACCACAAGGTATAAGTAGATTTCAGGGCGTAAACTGATGGATTCAGAAAATGAAATTCAGTATGCTGTACAAGGTTCTTCATCTGATGGAACAATTATGCCAGGATTTTGTAATGATGTTATTTTTATAGATCTCCCCACCCATGAACTTAGTATTTCTTCTTTGTACATCATTTGAATTTGTTTTTGTACAAGTTTGTATGTTCCATACTGTAGGTGTTGTTTATATATATTTTCACTTAAAGTTGCTGTTAGCTAGTTTCTTGTTTTCATTGTTTTTACAGGTGGAGAACATACTAGTGGTATGCAAAATAATATTTAAAGGAGACATTCCTTTGTAAATACACATATTTCCTTTTTATTGAAGGCATTAAAAGTAATTTTTATATACCATTCCTAATTTGTTTTTTTGTATATATAGACACACACATCACACAATAGAACTTGGTATCTTTTTAATGATGGCAAACTATTTCACTAAATACAAGTTGGACAGTGTTTCTAATTTTGAAAGGGAGGCACATATGTATAGTTGGTGGTCCCACAAATGAAGGTAGGCAAAAAACAATGCGTAAAGAAAACATGCCAAGCGTCTCCGCTGCCTCCGAAGGATCCTTTGCATGTTTTGGCCCAACATCATCATAAATGAAGACCTTTTGAAACAAACAAATGAGGAGCCAATAGCCACACAAATTGAGCAGAAAATAGAGGTGGATTGGACATACCCTGCGGAAGGACCAAAACGCTGTCGTAAAGCAAACACACCTGGAATCCCTAGGGACGGAGGAAGATGGGAAGGCCAAAATCAACCTGGAGGAGAACCATTGAAGAGGAGGCAAAGAAGGAAGGAATGACCTGGAGGGAGCTGAAAGTTCTGGCTCGTAATAGAACTCGTTGGCGCTGCTTTGTCGAGGCCCCATGCTCTGGCTAAGAGTGACAGGATATCAATCAATCAAAGAAAACGTGCATAAATTTTACAGTTGCTTGAGAAATTTAGATCCAGGCAGTATTTATTCAAGTGTGTGTAGACTTTGTAAAGTGATAGTCCTTGCATTCCAATTTGTACAGAATTGGATATATACGATAAACTTTGTAACAGCTTGCAATATAAATTTTCAACAGCATGCATTCACCAGGGTCTGCAGTGGCCGCGTGGGCTGAGGCGTGGGCCTTGTGCCGCTTGGTCGCTGGGACCGTGGGTTCGAATCCCACTCAAGCCATAGATGTCTGTCCGCGTTTTTCTGTGTTGTGCTGTCCTGTCCTGTGTACAGGTAGAGGCCTTGAGACCGGCCGATCCCTCGTCCAAGGAGTCCTACCAAAATGTCTATAGATCGAGCCAACAAAAAGTTGTGACCCGCAGTGCTCAGGCACTTGAAGAATGGGTCGTTCCCAGTATCCCAGCATTCACCAAGAGCAGCTTCATTCAGAATGCTGTAGAAGATTCGTTATGTGCAATTTTTTTATTAGATCAATGAAGATACCAAGTGACTTGAGCAATTCCTTCTTATGAACCCTCAGAGTAAGTAATCTTTACGTCAGATTTAATATTATCCAATATTATATACACAATGTAAGACCCTAATTTTAATTAACCAAAATTCTTTATTTTTCGGAAAACTGGTTTAAAATAAAATTTAGCAGCTTAAATTTCGTCGCACGACGGTATATGAGAATGGAAGGTTGGGGGAATGAAACAATTTCTTCGTGGTTAATACCGCACCGACTTTGATATTCATTAACTACCGGTTATTATCAGTAACGAGGCGTTTGTTTCTGCGCATGCGGAGGAAGCGCTGTGATAAGAACAGTATTCCGAAGAACAGCCTGTGGCCAGAAACGCAGTGTTAACCGCGCTAGAATCGGGAGGTGATGTTCCGTTGTCTCGTAATGGAACGCTGGGAAGTGTATTGATTTTCCAAAATGGCCAAGGAATGACAACATATGGGCCAAACCTGGAGGATTTTTAAAGTAACTTTCAGTATGAATCTTGTGTCACTCTGGTTCATTATTTGCGTGTCACTGAGCAGCGAGGTTATAGCCAACGTAGAGTTCTATCCAGGTAAATAACGCGATTCATTCCTACTAATACATTTTATTATTTTGAAAATAGTGTTACACAAGTTTTGCTATGATAGTACGTTATCAATAAATCATAAGTATTGCTATACAGAAGCACCAGTGCTTGTAAGGCATCTTTAATACAATTTGTTGCTTTAATTGTATATATCACAGTGGCTTCTGAACGATTCATGCTGCAAGTTTATCTCGCTTATTAAATTGTTCTTTTAAAATAGAAAAGACAATCAATTTAGAATTTTCCAATTAAGCGGAATTTGTTTAGGACTGCAATACGGTGACTACATGTACGTGGCTCTGAACGGAGGCCTATTTCGTTATAATACTAACCACAACTCTAACACACCCAATCCTGCTAACATGCCACTGTATTTTGATTTTTATTCTGAATTAACTAACGGAGCTGATTACGTTCGGTAAAGATACACCGTGTAACATGAAATCATTTTTAAAACAATTCACATTACACATACACGAAAGAGTGGCAGTTGTTTGATTATAATTTCATTGTGTCCCGCGACAGTTACGAATAACAGTATGGAGAAAACGAACCATCAAATGCGTACAATATGAATGCTTTCATTATTTAAAGGATTATTTATTAATATAGACGGAATTTGTTTCTTCTAATGTGCCGTGTTTTGTTGTTGCCAATGAGATTATTAGTCATAGACTAATAGACTAAACCGTGTTATCAAACTTCGCAAATCGCCTTGAAATACAGGTACCTGTTGCAGTACATCCGCTTTCTTAGTTGGTTTGAAGATAGAGCTTAGATATTACATCGAATACGACGCTTACTGTTCGTAATACGTTAGATATATAGCTCTGTATTTGAAAGTGTATTGGGCACAAAATGTTTGCTTAAGTTTCTGTACAGCTTTTATTCGAAACATTTTTAGCTCCGATAAATATTTAGCGGGTTGTGTTCGAGATTGGCGCAGAAGTGCATGTACTTCATTTTGTTTAGTGTGTGTTATTTTTAGTCCAGTTTTTGCCCAAATTGGAATGTGTGGACAAATTTTAGTGTAACTCCCCATCTTCCCAAAATCAAATTTCAGCAGTTCTCAAATTGTTACATGCGGATAGACAGACAAACATGGCGAAGCTAATAGGCAAGCGTGATAATACCAAAATGACTGCATTGGTAACTACGATGTTGCCGAAAGGGTGGTAAACCTATAGCAGTCGTCACGGCTTATCCCCGAAAGTAGAAGTTCTACATTGAACTCAAACTGCGAAAACTTAGGAACAAGAAATATTACAGAATATTGTAACAAGAACTTTGATTTCCAATATTATATATTTCTTAGTTCTAAATTCTAGCTAGTTATTGCTAAATTGCTTTACCCTTCTTTAGTCCAAATGTTTTTTCTGAGTTCTTTAGCACATCTTGATCGTCAGCGTTTTGGAGAGAGGACGGGTTAATAACAATTATCGAACTGAAAAATATCGGAATTTATTTATCTCTTAATGCGTACAAGAACATTTCAAGCACGAATAAAAATGTAAATTGAAAACTTTTATTCTATTTCACATGTAACAAGATACAGTTAAATGTTCATGGGAATATGAGGTCTCGCAATTAAATGACAGAACATTTAGTGAAAAGAAAATATGTCAGAGACTTATTAAAAGTGATAATGTTCAATTTGATCACCTTCTGACTTTACACGAGCAATCCTAAGTTTCTGTTATGGTTGTGAAGGCGTTTCAGAGTTTTCGTCACATTGTTATAAATGGCAAAGCTATTTATAATGATTTTCTTTCAAGAGTGTATTTTGGAACATTACGGGACCAAATTAGGTGAGTACGATAGATGATCCTTCACAGATATTTATTTTTACTCAAAAATCGGTTTACCGAAAATGTGTGGGAAGGTCCATTGTTATTATACAAAATCGAGTTATGTTGCCAGATATTTGGACATTTTTTGACGAACGAGCTGTCGTAAAAATCCCAAAATGTGAATGTACAATGCATGGTTGGCCTTTTTGTTTTGGAGGAACAGATTTGAACCGTGTAGTTTCTTTCATATGAGTCCCATGTGTCATTTTGTAACATGCTATCCGTCCCTTTCCGCTAAGTTTGATGACCACCCCTTATTGGATGCCTGCGGCTGCTTATTCAGTATATTATTTGCAGTCTTTCACGATATCTGGAGGCCCTCTCCAAATTGAAAGTTCTTTATACGAGGATTCTAATAGACTACTAGCCTGCGTGGAAAAACTAACATCATCTTAACATTACCACATACTGCATAAGCAAAGACAAGAATCCGTTGCTTTGAATATATTACCGGCAGCTGCGAAATAATTACAGGGAGTTTCATAAATAATGAGTAGCTTTGAGCAGCAAACAAACATGCTGCAGAACAGGAACTAGATGTCAGACTGGAAATCTGATCTGTATCTGTTCTCACACACTCCTCATTCCGCACGCTTTTAATTCTATTTGTTTCGTCTCACAACAGCGTGGACACGAGAATCGTTACTTTCGCTCTTACAGATCAGATGATAACGTCACTAGAACATTTTTAGAAGGAACTAGAGACTGCAGATGTAATGAAGAATATATTATATTTTACTTCGAAATATTGCCATATTGTAGGCAAAATAGTATTTTAAGCATGTGCTGTTGGCTACGGACTAGATAGCTTGGCTTCAGATGACTTGGGATCTTTAACTCTGTCGCTGTGTCTATTGACCTAACGATTGTGGAGCCCATAGATCAGGGATCACCAGCCTTTGCCGGGTGGTGGACAACTGGTCGAAACATCTTTACGATGGGACTGTTAGACAAAACTGGAGAACACAGAATATCTGAGTAACAATAAAGATTGTCATTAGAATAAGAATTTTCTTGGATATTATCCATCATCTAGTAAATAAAATATAAAACGTAAAAAACGACGTTTCGGAGATGGGGCTCTATCTCCGTCTTCAGGTTCCTACTCAGTTGGGCCCACTAGATAGAGCTAATCCCTATCTCCGGGACCGGAGAGCCCCATCTCCGAAACGTCGTTTTTTACGTTTTATATTTTATTTACTAGATGATGGATAATATTCAAGAAAATTCTTATTCTAATGACTCATCACCAACATCATGAACTTTTAGATTTGAAATAAAGATTGTATTGACAGCATGGGCTGTTACAGTCACAGTATTAATCTGGAGATGGAGAACGGTCTCCAAGCCTTTGGGGTAGTCAAGCACGAGAATCAGGCTTAAACGAAAAAACCTACCTGTTGCAGTGTCGTTGTCCACAGTCTCTACTCTGTGTGTAGCTATAGAATCGCGGGTGAGAGGTCTGAACTAAAATTGCTTCGCATGAAAGAATTTCCTTGAAAATATTTGAATTTCATTAGAATTACGAGTACTGTTATCCATCTCGAAAACACTCGTAGTTACGATGATATTGAAAGCACGAAATCGATGCCAGAATAAAAATGTTATAAAAGACCAAATTTGCAGGTGAAGGAAGGGTACTAATGCCAACAGAGCGTAGATGAGCCCTAAACCGTTATTTGTGTGTATCTGTAACAGGGTAGACTGAAAAATATTCTCATGCTTATATCCGTACAGGATCAGGCAGGTGGTTTGTTGTACACCCGTAACAGACAGACTGTGTGCACGGAACAGGTCAGGCCGGAGGTCATGCCTCCGTAGCATGGCAGCAGATCGAAGAGCATGACATATACAGTATTCGAAAGAGGTTTCGACTGAACTGCATACGCACCTAACAGGGCATTTCGGAGAGCCAATTTCTGCAGCTCTTGTGAGTCACTCTTGCGGTTATCGATGATGTCTGCCAACCATCCTATCGCCTTAACATTTTATCACAAAATAACGACAAGGGAATTAAAAGAGTAATCGTTTCTGTGTGACGATATACCGATCCAACTGTTATCCAACCCCAAAATACATTTGCGACGGCCAAGCACCATTCTTTTTCGCGTCAGTGAAAAGAGAGGGCTCTTTCTTGGGCAGAAAGAGGTCGAAGTGTAAAGCAGACTACACGAGTCTGTCCACTGTCCACGTCAAGAATGCATGAAGCTTTACTTCCATTTCCTTATACGTCATCATGACGTGGTGCTTAAGCCAAGGGACAACTTACTGCAAACTCTTGTTCTCAGCTTGCGCCATGTAGTGGCACGTCGGCAGGTGTATCGGGATGTTTATTGCGTCTCTTCATAATCTATAACAAACGACGTCCTATCAAGTGACGCACCATCTGTGTGTTGTGTGGGTCACACACAGGTGTCCGGGACTAATGAAGAGGCAGGAACATTCGTGACGTATGAAACAATCAGCTTTTCTCATCAGGCAGTGCTTCCTATGCATGAAACGCGATTTGTTTTGCGTGATAATTTGTTGTAGACTGTTAAGGACTGCTTATATACTGTTAACTAACGTTGTGGTCGCAGAATCCAAAGATTTAATAATGTATTTGGTGGGAAACCCCCCTCGTAATACAATTTTCTCAGGCGTCTTAATAATTCCTGTATGTTAGATCCAGATTTTTGCCTCAGCACTGTGTTCTCGCTTTAAACCTTTCTTTGTTCCTTAGTGTGAGAGATTAGCTTTCAGAACCCATATAAAACAACAGATATTGCTATCGTTTTTGTGCGTTTCATTCTTTAGACTTTACATTATTTATGAGGCAATTATGTGGTAGTTACTGGTGAATATATTTTAAATTAATTAAATGCTGATTTAAGATCTCCAGCTGTTCCTCAGTATGTGTTTTTACCCAGTATGTCCGTCTTATGCAATTTCACGCCTGAGATATTATCAAGGGTGCAGCCTAAACTCTTTCGGAATGATTGTGACAAGCTACCAGCTGTACCAATAATCGTTATCGTCTTCGCCTCCTCCTTTCGCATGCACTGCATTTTAACCAAAAAATGTTTTGTGCCCTCTCCTATTCCACATATCCCCCAAACTTTCTGACAGGTTGTAACGAAACGTCAATTTTCAGAC